ATCTGCCTCTCAAATAAAAATAAATAAATCTTTTTTTTAAAAAAATAGGGTTTGGTACAGTAGCCTAACTGCTAAGGTCCTTGCCTTGCGTGCCTACTAAGATCCCATATGGACGGCAGTTCGTTTCCCGGCGGTCCTGCTTCCCATCCAGCTCACTCCTGGCAGAGCAGTCAAGGACAGCCCAAAGCTTGGACCCTGCACCCATGTGGTCACCTGGAAGAAGCTCTTGACTCCTGGTTTCAGATCAGCACAGCTCTGCACATTGCTGCCACTTAGGGAGTGAAGCAATGGATGGAAGATCTTTCTCTCTGTCTCTCCTACTCTCTGTATATCTGACTTTAGAATTAAATTTTTAGAAAACCATAAAATAATATAATTTCCAAATTTGATTCTTGGTAATTGGTGAGCTAGGCTGAGATATCTGGAGTTTCGGTATTTCTACTATTTCCCATCCAGGGATGACTTCCTGATCCAGCTATCTAGATTTTATACTCCCTGTGTGTACCGGAACTTTCCTATCACGCACATATCACGGATCATTAAAAACTGTCTGCTGCCTGCGTGTATCTGTCTTGCTCTCCCAAACAGATGAACAGATGTGACCACTGTTTATACACTTTTGTAACCTTCACAAACTCCAGCAGAAAGCCTTATATCCAGAAAACATCAAACAAAAAACACTGCTCTTTCATTAGTAATCGTAGACCAGGAGCATTTCCAATTTTTCAGTCTTTGTGCTGCTGCCTGATAGGCTGCTGGATATAAAAGCAGTTCTGGAAATGGAATGGAATGAAGAGAACTTATCGCTCAGCTTTTAAAAGGGGGCTGGAAAAGATAAACTTCCTGTCAACTGCTACTGGAAAAGAAGTGTGGCATGCTGCAAGCTATTGTGTTCCAAGAGCAGGGTGCTCTGGAATTACTGCTCAGTCACCCTGGAACATCGTATACAGAGCAGTATGGGGAAATGTGCTTTCTTCTCCCAAGTAAATATTGACCCAACACTGGATCCATAAAACCCCAATAAGAGAAATTAAAAGTTTCCCATTGATTTTCTGGGCTTCCCCCGCCCCCCACCTCATGCTGAATTTTTAAATTGTCTTTCTTGTATTTCTTGAGATACACAATAACTTCTAGAGAGCAATGATTCTGTGTGTTCAACACCTTGTGAGCGCTGCCAGAACAGCTGACCATGTTTGTGAAAATTTCAGTGCCCAAATAGCCTCTACCTGTCCTTTGGAACTATTACACGTTTAAGAAAAAGCTGCATCTTATTTCTTCTCAAAGTGATTCAACTTTACATTTCCCCATGTAGGTATTAAAAAAAAAAATAATGATCTCCCTTTAGTCTTTGTATTGCTTCGTTTTTTTATTACAGGTTTTAAAATTTTTACTGATAATAATTATATAAGTTTCTGGGCTGCAAGGTGACATTTCCATACACGTATATGGTGTATACTGGTCAAAGTGGTGTAATTAACATTTCCCCTTCTTTGACATTACTTAATGACAGGAATCTCAAAGCTCCTTTCTCCCAGTTGCTCAGAAAATATAAAGTAGTTTATTGTGAACTAGAGTTGCCCACTCTGCTGACGTTAGGGACTTATACCTTCAACCTAACTCTAATTTGGTACACTCAACCCAAACTCCCTCTTTGATCCCCCAAAGTCTCTAACTGAAAAACAAACATAAAACACTGTATCTTATTTTAATCTGCTTGGCGCTTATCCTTCTCAACGTTGGGCTCCCTTGCAATTGGTGATTTCGAATTATAAAAACTGGAAAGCTGAACATCCTTCTAAAAGGAAAGCCTTCTTTCACATTCATGGGGGCCAAGCCATAGCACACAGACGTCAACTTCATCAATCAAGTTCTCTGCCTCTTTGGAATACATGTACTTTTGTTGTGGCCTTTGCTAGCCTTTTATGAGAAATGCAGTAGTTAATAGTAAGTTCCATTTGAAAATAAGCATCCTACTCCCCAATAGGAGCCACCAAGATCTCTTATGAACTATTCGCTTACCCATCAACATGTGTAATTCACAGTGGTTCGCCCTACTGGTGCTGCTGAATTCTAAAAGTTCTACTTTCCTTTGACTATCATTTGTCATTATTCGATTGTTTAATTACATTATTGATATTAACTGCCCTGAGAGAACACTCTACTTCATTTGAAATGAAGCAATCATACTACTACCAAAAAATTTTATGCCCTTTTTTTTTTGCCAGTGGTGGTGCTGATACAAGTTTTAGAAAAATAATCATTGTTCCCCTGTGAGGATAATGCCAATTAATTTCTTGCTGCCTTTTGATGAAATGTAGTCATAATTTTCTCCTTGATTCTTTAATAAAGTTGCATTTTTTTCCTTTTAGTTAACATTTGATTAATCTTGAGTTGGAAAATTATCAGTATACTTAAAATAGTGCAAGAAGGAGAAAGTTACGTTATGTCTCTTTAAAGAAGCACTATAAGTTTTGCTTTGAAGTAAAGCATTTCTTGATGGTTCATAAAAGACCAAATGCTTCATGAAGGCGTTTAGGCTGACTAGCAGCAGGTGCTTAATAAATATGTATTATTCACATGACTGACACTTGCAAATTTCATACTAGTGACTGGACAAGTTAGTATTAAATTAGTAAGTTGTATCAACAAACTATTTTTTTAAGATTTATTTATTTTTATTGGAATGTCAGCTATACAGAGAGGAGCAGAGACAGAGAGAAAGATCTTCCATCCATTAATTCACTCCCCAAGTGGCAGCAATGTGCAGAGCTATGCTGATCTGAAACCAGGAGTCAAGAGCTTCTTCCAGGTGACCACGTGGGTGCAGGGTCCCAAGATTTTGGGCCATCCTTGACTGCTCTCCCAGGCCACAAGGAGTGAGCTGGATGGGAAGCAGGATCACCGGGTATGAATCAGCACCCATATGGGATCCCGGATCATGCAAGGCAAGGCCATTAGCAGTTAGGCTACTGCTCCACGCCCAGGGACTTACACTTATAACTTATGTTATATTCTTCAAACATAAGCACTGCTGATTTTATGTAACACTATCTTACAATATCATGTTTCTCTTTAAGTTGCACACTATATTTAAGTTCATTCATTTATCTGATACTATCATCCTGTTCGGAAGTTAATAGCTGTCCCCCTTCTTTCATTTTACAAATGGGCATGCAACCTCTGGATTCTTAGACTTCAGAGCTTTACCTGTTTCACCTGGCCATAGCCTAAGTGCTTACATATCTACACTTGAAATGTGCAGCTGCCTTTTCCAATACCGGTTAGTGAAATGTTCTAATCTCTAAGATTCTGTTCAAATTCATGCGGGAAAGGTAGAGAGAAACAAGTAGCAAGGGTTAGTTATTACAGAATTAGCCCTAAATAACTAATTATTACATTTGGGGGAGATGGGTACAGAGAGCATTCCTTTTTTCTCCAAATGTTTCAAGTTTCTGTAAAGCTGAGAAGTCAAAATTAATAAGTGGTTCTTCTCAAGGTAGTATGCTAACAGTTAGAGGATGTTTGCTGTTACATTTTAAACCAATACCTAACTCCCTCATCAGCCACACAAATCTAATATAAAATCTGATTTTTCACATCCAAATGGAAATTGACTAAGTAGATTCTCAGTACAGAACTTAATCAAGGCTGCAAATAAAATATACAAAAAATCTCTTGAATTCTAGTCTGCTGACGAAACTATGCTCAGAACGCAACACAACATACGTTTTGCTTAGTTTTTATGAACTTAGGTAGTAAAATAACAAACCAAACAAGCTCTCACTGTCAGTGTCTGCAGACTTAAATGCGTTCAGTGAGAGCTATAACTCCAGTTGCATGCTCTGAGGCATAAACCACAACCTTAGACAATCATCACGGGTTTGCTGTAAAGTGACAACTGAGTTCAATATTTAAGGCAGTGGAGATGAACGAGCGTTGGCCTCAAGGAAAACTAACTCTGCTGGATCTTGCTGGATTCCAGGTACCTCTAACATCCACTAAACAATAATGCCTTCCTTCTCTTCAGACAGTAGTTCAAGACATCCGAGCTTCATTTGCTTTGGGGCTGATTTCCGAAGTACATTAGTTCCTACAGAATCTAAAAAGGAATTCAAGAAGCAGGTATCCTGACCAAGAATGGCTGGACTATCTGTGAACTTTGTTCCACTCCTAAAATAGGGCAAAAAAAAAAAAAAAAAACAACTTTGCCAAATTGAAGGACTCTTAACTGAGGCTATGCTGGCTGGGCATAGAGCGTGAGAAGAGGTGGGTCATAGAGACTGACACAAAATACAGAGACAGAAAGAAGAGAAGAGGCGGTGAGAGACCCATCAGCACTGTCCCACGAACATGACAGGTGTAGCTGTGTTCCTCTTCCTCAAACTAGACCTGCAAATCCATTCAGGTATCAGGACACAAATCTGAAAGTTCCAGGATTATATTTAAATAGTGAAACACGAATCTAAAGGTGATCAGTAAGAAAAATGAAATGACATATTCCTCTCGGAAGCTTTAAATCTCCCCCACAAGCCCAAGGAAAGAAATTACACAGACCAATGCAGGAGAAAGAAAGAAAAACGTGGAAGGCAAACGTTCTTTTCTTCTCTGAATGAACTTGTAGCTTTTTCATCTATATTCCCACAAGATTCAACCAGATTGCTGGCGAAATTCAGCGTAGAGTAGACACTCACTGCTGTTTATATCAAAGCCATAATTTAAATTTAAAGAATTGCTAGGAGAACCTTTGGATACCTCTAGGTTTGCTATACCCGATAAACTTTGGATTAGTTAATTGAAAGAGCCAGTATATATCAAGTTGTTTGAGCCTCATTCATAAAGCATAGAAATGGATTTAAATTATATATACATATTTCATCATCTAATACTGAAATATCGCATGCAACTACTATTTTTGTAACTTTAGATTTTCCTAAAAACAAATATGAACAACTTCAGGCAGCCTAATGGGATGCATCTCCGGGAGAAAGGTAGGCACTCACTTGAGAAAGCAGAGCCAGCTCATGGTGACACGGGACAGCATTCCGGCTGGCTTCCATAAAATACCTCTGGGTGCGCCTCCGCTCTCGCTCTAGCTTCTTCTCCAGGGCCAACTGGGATGTAGATAAGTTGTCTAAATACTTCATCATCACATCTGATACCATGGAACTGACTTCTACGATGTCTGGACGGGCTTCTGCATCTGGAGTGAGGCACCTAAGAGAAGGCGAGCTTAATGAGAACCTTGCTCAGTGTCGGGGCGAGATCACAGAGAGAAGTGACGATGACACTTCACTGCATGTCCACCCTGGTGTGTGTACTGTGGACAAACATCAAGCATTGCTTTGACTCTAAGATTTGACAAGATCTGGGGAAGGAGTTGGAGGCAGTCATGTTTACCCGTTGGGCCAAAAGGCAAAAGTCAGAGATGGAGCACCAAACTCCCTCGGGTCTCAGCATAGGCTGATGGGGACATGTGCTGCTGTGTGGGTTGGCTGCTTTCTGAAAACCCTGCCAGGTCACCGGTCAGTGAATCGCAGATCCAATAATAGAGACTCTGAAGGTCACCTTTGACACACCAAAAGGAATGGTGGAAGATTTCTGGGGTAACATTTTGACTTTTCCCCCAAAGCATACAGGCAATTGTAATACAGCTTGATTAACAATTTTACCAAACACTAAGCCAATCAGCACAAAACACGACTCAGTTACTCAGAGGGGTAAGATAGCTGCAGTGCCAGAAATAAAACCAGATCAAAGTTTACAATTGTAAAAGTTGAGGTAGGTGTTTAGCCTGGTAGATAATCAGAGCAGAGTCCGGGGAGGGGTTCCTTCACGCCTCTGGCTTCCTGCCAGCGCAGCCCCCTGGGAAGCAGCAGAGCTCACCCAAGTCACTGGGCTCCTGCCAGGCTCAGGGCAGACCTACCAGCCAAAACACGGGAAGGCCTGACCAACACTGGCGTTTGTGGAGCACATCAAGCAAATGGGAGTGAACTGCCTCTTTAAAAAAATAAATAAATAAACCAATGTAGGAATTTACCATGCCTGAAAAACGAAGACTGAATTGAGAATGAGAAGATTGTCTTCCAGCGTTTACAGCAGAGTTTATACAGGATAACAAGGAAAACGTTTGACCTTTTTGGTGATTGGTTGTCAACATAGTTTCATTCTCTTTAAGGCAAACAGCTGTTGAAGCTGGTTTGCCCGCAGCTGGTCGGTTGGATTTCCCTGAATTATGCAGACAAGGATGCACAACTTCCATCTGATGTTTTGTTTGTGATTAAGAAAGCATTTCAGGGAAATCAGAATGACTTACATTTTGGTTATGTGATTACAGAAAGTAAGTTTTTTGGGTATTTTTTTTAACAAAAGTAATTTTTAAAAAGAAAAGTAGACAATGTAAGGCTTAGCAAGTACCAGGGTCATGTCTGATGATTCTGCCCAAGTTCAAGCACAGGATATGGAACAACCACCACCACCACCCCCTCGGCAGATAAAGCACATCTCTGGTTACAGCATGACCCTTTGGCGAAGCCCTCAGCCGCCCCCCCTCCCCCACTATCCACCAAAGAAATCCCAACTCTTAGGCCTGGCACTGAGGGCCTTTCCTCCCAACTCCTGTCTTTCTAGGTTGGGACAAATCACTTAACCTTCCTGCTCCTCCGCTACTCGTGGGAAACTGGATCAGCACACCAAACCTCTCATGTGGATTTTAAGGACTACAAGAATGAAAGGATCCACTCTTAGATAACGTGACCTGTGTGGTTGCTCAGAAAATGCTGTCAAGAGCCTGTACTGCCGCCAAATTGTATTAACGGGTCTTTCTTTTTCAAAGAGGAAAAAAAAAAACAGATTTTTTGAGGTATACTTGCTATTTAATGCCCACAATTTGATCATAGGTATCTATACTTGTAAAACCAGCACGCCATTCAAGGTAACAGATACTTCCGAAATTTAAAAAATAGTAATGTAGGCAAGTTTATATATTGATTGTATGTTGGCATTTTCTATGTTTTGGGGGGCAGGAAATGACAATCAGCACAATAAAAGGAATACTAACAGAAGTATTGCTAATTATCCATGGAACCAACCATTGGGGCATTAATCATGCATGCGTTAAATACTTCTAATATCCACTGGAGCATAGGGTATTTTTTGAAAGCCAGACATTCCTGGATGAGTTAGGAGTATTCCAAGCAGTGTTTTCATCTCTGTGCTAATTACCAGCCCCGTTTCTTATCTGAAAAGCAGACTCACAGAGAGGAGAGACACCAAAAAAATAGGGGAAGGGAGGGAGAATATTTTCAATCTGCTGGTTTATTCACCAATGGCCAGAGCTGAGTCAACCCAAACCCAGGAGCCAAGAGCTTCTTCTGGGTTTCCCACATGAATGAAGGCTTCCAAGGACTTGAGCCATCTTCTGCTGCCTTCACAGAGCATAAACAGGGAGCTGGATGGGAAGTAAAGCAGCCAAGATCACAACCAGCATCCATACGGGATACCCAGCCCAGGCACAGGATTAGCATGCTGAGCCACCACAGCAGCCCCAGAAAACTTTTCCTATTAAGGGCCAAGAGTAAATTTGGGCTTGTGGGCCAGACTGTCTCTGGCATAACTATTCTGTTTCTGAATTAGATGACAATGACTAAAGCAGGAACATTTTAACAATGTCATTGTCACACCATTTGCTGTGTTACACTGCCTGTCCCCAAGGAGGGGAAAAAAAAAAAAAAGGAATGTAAGAACGGAATTAAAACTGAGTTTATTTTAGTAAAAAAAAAAAAAAAAGACTTTGAAATCCATGAACAAGAAAGCTCTTAAAAAAATTCATGAAAAGTGAATATTAAGGCAAATCTCACTGTGTGTGAATTTCAATGTTGGGGTTCCCCCAAATAAAACTACCTTTAATTCAATTTTCCCACAAACTCTTTACAGGGCCCTCAAATGCTATCTTCTTCTCGTTCAAATTACGTCATTTCATTGAAGTCATGTATGCTTCTCAATAAAAGTTAAATTGCCTGAAATTGGGGAGAAGTGTCTAATTTTCACGACTTGAATTTGACTTGGTAACTCATCACCACTTAATGCGATTTCCACCTTTACTGCTGTCTCCAGACGTGGTGTGGGCATTATTAGTACACAGCTATTCCTCACAGCAGAAGTCAAAATACAGCTCTGAGCTAATTATCCTTTCTTATTGAGTTTATTAACCATGACTAAAATACACATGAATCGAAATCAGGTTTTAAGACCTTACTTTATTATTTTTATGTGCTTATGTTTTGAGCTCTAAGGCAGAAGATCTGCACTATATGATATGATGAACTCACATTTAATGAGGTTCATTCTGTGCGTTTATTATACACAAAGTAGGGTAAGACATTTGTCCAGACAAGGGCAGCTACAACATTTTGTAGGTTCAAAATGAAAATTGAGGGCTTCAGTGCAGAGGGAGAAAAATCAATCTCTCCCACAGCCCGAGGTTCTAACTGATGGCAAACTGGTCACTGCTAGGAAATCCCAACCTCCAAGAAGATGAGTCATCCTTGGTACCTGGGTTGCAGCTGGAGTGGAGGGGACTAGGCCCTCCCTGAGTCACCCATCAGATTTGCCATGACGCTGCCAGCTCAATCACAGATCAAGCCTTTACCCTACCCTGATATGTAGCACCCGAACTCTCCATCTGAACCCACACTCACACAGGGAGAGGAGAGGGAAAGAGGAACGCAGTCCTTCCCTTGTGACATAGACTCAGCAGTGGTCACTGGACAAGGACAGAGAGATGTGGAGGTGAAGGCCAATAGTTACCCAGGGAGCAATGACCCTGACCCATGCCACAAGGTAGGGAGCTGAAAGAATGACGATAGGAGCTGGGACTCCAAGACCCCGCTGTAAGATCCTTATTCCATCAGGCTTCCTTTCCAAAACACCGGCACAAATACAAAATTATTAAGACTGTCAAGGCTTCAAATACAGAGTCTTAAATCCCAAGACCAGGACGGGGGGAGCACAGACGCTCAGCATTAATGAAGTTAAAGCTCTTCGATTGGGTTGAGGCGCATGAAGTGAGCCTTCTGGAGTAGTGGCATGCTTGTATAGTCAAGTTCTTACTTTTGTCCATAGTCACAAATAAAGCTAAATTGTGAACTTCTACTTTCTAATTACATCAAGTTCTTCATCTCCTTTTACTTAATTATGGTAAGAAAAAAAATTGAAAGGGTTATCAATTGCTGACTGACTTGAGGTTGGTTATGATTGCCATGACAGGAAGAAATAAAACAAAACCACTCAACATCTAAGCCTTGCCTTTAGTCCAAATATTTAAGATTTTAGCCTGAAGATATTTTAATTTCTTCAAGGTATCATTAAGAGGCCACTTATTAGCTGATTGTTGAACGTGTCTTGGCAAATCAAACAGCAAAGTGTATAGTTACACATTGTGATAAATGGGAAGTAGAAAGGTTCCTGTACTCCCAGCATTTCGTCCTTTTCTTCTCTCCCAACACTAGGATCTGAGATGCACTTTGGAATTGTCGAAGGCATGGAGGCTCTAGATCAGAAAGCGGGGTTTGGAATCCCAGTCTGACATTTATTAGCCCTGGTTTTGGACAAATTATTTCACTTCTGAATTTTAGATAGCACATCTTTAAAATGGGGCTGCTTTAGTATCTAATCAAACTGATACTGTAAAAGTACAATCCACTGTGCTTTTCTCTGCATCTGTTCCAAATCCTATGGCTTCCATCTTCTAAACACTTCTTGAATGCATATCTTTCCTATCTAATATCACTGCTATTGATTCATCATCATGTGTCGGACTATTGAAATGGTCTCCTCAGTGCCACAGTCATATCTTATCCGCTTCTGATCTGTACTGTAAAAATATAGCACTGTGATGACTCCACCACTCATCTACACGAAATCCTCAATAGTTCTTCAAACTGTGTAGGATGAACTTCAGCTTTCCATTATGCCATACAAGGTACCCCTAATCTGCTTTTCCCTTCCTCCACTTGTTCCCCTCTCGCAGCAACAAATCACCACAGTCTCCCACCTCCACCTCCCCAATAACCACAGCCATCCTCTGCTGCCCACTCTTCTGTGCTTATTCTGACCCATTTGCCACCCTTTTTCCAGACACCATCCCTTAACTGCTTGTTAAACTCCTGCTCTTTTCCAATTCCCAATTAGACTGTTTTGACTGCCCTCAGAAAAACTTAATGACCCCTTTGTATATGCTTTCAATCCACTCTTTACATTTAAATATGTAAAAACACTGTGTAATCATTGCCTCATCACCATCTGCTTTGCCACTAGACTAGAAAGTTCTTGAGGGAAAGAACAGGTGTCCCCTCACTATGATCTTCCTAGCAAGTAAAATGGCATGAAGCAGTGAAGAAGCATCTAAAGAATTGGTGTCAGCATTGTGGTACAGTGGGCTAAGCCACTGCCTGTGATACAGACATCCCTTTTGAGCCCCTGTTTCAGTCCCAGCATTTCTACTTGAGATCCAGATCTCTAATTCACCTTGGGAAGCAGGTGGTGGTGGCTCAATGACTTGGGTCCTAGCCACCCAGGTGGGAGACCAGGATAGAGCTGCAGGCTCCTAGCTTTGGTCTGCCCCAACCCTGGCCATTGTGGCCATTTGGGAAGTACAACAGGGTATGGAAGACCACCTCCATCTCTTTGCAACTGTACCTTTCAAATAAATAAATAAGTCTTTTTTAAAAAAAAATTAAATAAAGGATATACCTGTCCATAACCCAAAGTACCTGGCTGTGTACTCTGAGATTTCCAGACATATCTCAATCACAAGTTCAGAGCCTCACTGCTCTGAAATGACTCCTTACTAAGCACTGTAGAGAAATGCTTAACAGCAAACAAATATTCCTCATAAACAAATGATTTAATGAGTAAGTAAGTAAGAAATAAACTGCATTCTGGAAAATAACTTGTCATGTTCTCACCTCACCCTCTCTACTGTGAGAGACCCCCATGGAAAGAATTAGAGAGATACAGTACCCAATCATATGTATTTCTTGTTTTAAGAAACAAAGAAGAAGACTGGACAATGGCTCAGTGGCTAAATCCTCACCTTGCATGCACCAGGATCCCTTATAGGTGCCAGTTTGTGTCCCAGCCGGTCCACTTTCCATCCAGTTCCCTGCTTGTGGCCTGGGAGAGCAGTAAAGAACGGCCCAAAGCCTTTGAACCCTGCACCTATGTGGGTGACCTGGATGAGTTTCCTAGCTCTTGGATCCTGGCTTCAGATCGGCTCAGCTCTGGCCATTGTAACCAACTGGGGGATGAACCAGCAAATGGAAGATCTTTGTCTCTTCTTCTCTTTGTAAATCTGCCTTTCAAATAAAAATAAATCTTAAAAAAAGAAAGAAAAAGAAAGAAACAAAGAGGGACCAGAGCTGTGGCACATCAGGCTAAGCATCTATCTGTAATGCTGCCACCCCCTATGGGCACCAGTCCAAGTCCCATTGCTCCGCTACCATTCCAGATCCTTGCTGAAGGGCTGGTCAAAGCAGCAGAAGATAGCCCAAATGCTTGGGTTTCTGCACACAGGCTGGTTTCAGCCTGGCCCAGCCCCAGCTGTCGTCATTCAGAGAGTGAACCAGCAATGGAACATTTCTGTCTGTATCTCCTCCCCTTCTCTGTCACTTTACCTTTTCAATAAAATAAATAAACTTTTTTTAAAGAAAGCACAAAACAATGAGGTGAAGATAAAGTTAAAATACTAAGGTCCTTGTCCTTAGAGTTACCTGAAAGTATCAACTTTATTAGTTGTTATAATTGCCTTGGAAACAAGGCACCAGCCTGCTTACGCAACTAGGCAAAGAGAGAGAAAAACAAGGCAATTGGAATATTTGGGGCTTAAAAGGCAATGTTCTCCCTTTTAAAAAAAAATAAATAAATAAACAGACTCACTTAACAATGCACTGGGAGGTAAAAATAGTTGTGATCAGAACAAGAAGATATATTTAAGAAGATATATTTATTTTCTGTCTCAAGCTCTTCAGGAATGCTAAGCTACTCTTTTCATGTAAAGCCTGGTCCAAATGAGAAGCTTCTGAAATAAAAATGTGCTTATGTAAACACAGGAAACCAGAGGAAGGAGTCTGTACATTACAACGCAAACTGTGTTTGCTGCACCTGACAAGGATGGAAAACAGCAAAAAGAAGACGTGTGTGATCACAAGCAATACCCAGTTTGAGAAGGATCACAGTGAATCTGCCCATCAGCAGTTGCCTTATGTCACAAAAGCTCTGTGAAGTTACCAGTGATTGCCTTTCAGCCTGATGTTTTGCTGAGTCATAAAACCCGTTGGTTTCCATATTTTCTTTGCACCAATTTCCTCAAGAAAATAGGACACTTAAAAAAAAAGTAGGAAATGCTGATTTCTTTTTTCCTTTAATTCTTCTGGAAATTTTTCACACCGAAATGCTAAAGGAACCTTAATATGCAATACAGTCGGTTTTGCCTTTTGGTCAGGTTTTCTAAAGATAGAACTATCTGTAAGGCAGACCGAAACAATAGGGATGCTTGAGTAACATCTGCTGCAGTACGTGCGCACCCTGATGTCTGAATTTAGTGTTGGCTGACTTTCGGCAACTTAGTGTTTTCCATTAATCGCACCCTCAGAAACATTTTGATCTGGAGCCCCTGACAATCACTCATCCCCTGGAACATTCCATTAACCATGAACTCATGACTGGCTCCCCCATGCTGCCTCCTCCCCTCCGCAGCACATCTCTCTCCTTCCGACACACACTTCCTAATGCTGAGCTGACCACAGTCACCTCTTCACTTCCACCCACTGATCTCGGCTCTATTTTCTGAAACTTCATGGCACGTATCCAGTGATTTTTTTTCCAGTGTCATGCCATTCTCCCCGTTAGCGGTCCTCATTTTGAAACCTGTTGTGATTGATGCCTCCGAATGTGCTGACTTCACCTCCACTTGTATTGTCTACAGCAAGCAACACTTCTCACCAGCACTTCTTGGTGGACAAATAGAACTTCTTCTTCCTCCGACTCAGAGCCCCTGATTCTGTTTCCCAGGAAGTGGCCAGCAGGAGCCTTGCTGTAGCGGAAGTACACTAGTCCAGGCTGCTGGTATAACCTTCCAGCTCTCTCCTCCCCACTGGAGTGGCATTGGCAGTACCTGGTCTATCTGGCTCCACTGCCCTCCTGAGCTGCCAATCATTGCTGGCTCTCTCCCTCGCTTTGCCTGCTACCTCTCCACTTTCTTTCCAGCCCTCAAGTTAACAAGCTCTCCCTCTCTGCAAAGCCTTCACAGATGGGAGCATGTATGTAAAAGCTTTTGCCACTTTGTTTACCCTTGGAGAATTACCAATTGCTAGGACCAAGCCCAAACCAAGTGTGCAGAGACCATGTGAGCTGATTAGAAGAGTCCTACAATTCAAAGCAATGAAGATTTGCTCCAGTGCCATGTGGTGAAGAAATAACCTTGGGCCAATCTGCATATCCTCCAGAAGGCCCAGAAACAGCCATCAGCCAGGTAAACATGTGCCAGCCATTGCTCTGGACAGCAAAGAGTCCAGAAACCCAACTACCTGCACTTGGGTTCACTAACAGAAAGAGGCAGACACTCAACAAACAGGCAGGTAGGTGTGTACATGACACATCAGGGTGATGCGTGCTCTGCAAAGTCAGGAGCCAGGAACTCAATTCTGATCTCCCATGTGGAAGAAACCAAGTGCCTGAGCTCTTACCACTGTCTCCCCATGCACAAGCAGCCAGAATGAGAAGCCAGAGTGGGATAACAAATCCAGGCACTCAGGTTTGGGGTATGTGTGTCTTAAATGCTGGGCTTACACCTACCCCCAGAAAAAAAATCCCAACAAATTTCCAGTATCTTACACAGCATTTTTTGCTTGTTTGTTTCATGTGTCCTGTCTTTTTCCATATTTGTGTATGGTTCTGTGGTTTCTGTTTTAGTTAATTAGCAGCTTTTCAACCTATTGGTCTTACTTTCAGAGCATCTACATTTTGCAAGTTAATACAAAGCCATCCAAATAATCACTTAGTGACCGCACAGTGTTTCAAGCAAATGGAATACTCCCCATCCTGGCCCCTCAGACAACTGATGTTGCAGAGACATCCTTGTAGATTTGGAATGGTTAAGGACACCTCCTCTTTATGAGTATTCACCCTAAAACAATCTGTTTTCCGGGTGTGTTCAACATTGTGAGGCTGGTTACCTGCGGATGGTATCTGTCACTTTTTCAGAGTAGATGCCTTCTGGCACGGGCTCATAGACTGCCTCCACTATCTACAAAGCAAGCACAGCACGGGGATGAGAGTCAACAAAGCCACCACTCGGCATCTGCACATGCTCACCCTTTCTGGGCCGTGACAATAAAGTTATTAATTAAGCAATATAACTTCATACACAAATGTGACTCAGAAATAAAAAATATCCCAAGTTAAAAAAAAAGACTGTCCATGAAACAGTTCTTGAACATGAAACTATAATATTCTCTCCAAGCTGAGTTAAAGTTAGCCTTGGAGTTATAATAAAATGATGTGCAGGATAATATAATGCGTTGGATTGTGGGGAGTCCAAAGTGCAAGGAAAAGTAAAGGACCAAAAACAGTGGGATATATTTAATTTTATACTTTCCTATGATAAATGAAACCATTACAGAGGAAAATACACCCTAGGATATGATGTATATATGTAGAAGAAACCACAACATGCAGTTAACAAACTAATGCCTGCTTTGAACTAACAGTTGTATAAAAGTCTGGGGGTGTTAGCAACGACAGCCTTTTTGCCTCCCTGTGCTGCTTACTTTGGTAGCCAGAGACAGCATGTTGGTGCTGTAGAAGGGAGGGTCCAGGGTGGCCATCTGGTAGAGGATGCAGCCCGCAGCCCACACGTCCGCCTTCTCCCCATACGGCTCACTCTTCAGTACCTCGGGGCTGAAAATCAAGGAGGGAGGTTAACAGACACCAAGCAAGGGGAGGGAAGGTAGAAAGATCCAATGTTCAAGCTGTAGCTAGGAAAGGGAAGAAAAAAAAAATAAACTTAAGTATCTTTGGAAATCTCACAGCCGCAGTTAATCAAGCAGTACAATCAGGCTGCGCCAGTCTCAGTGCTAAGCACCAATAAACCACAGAAACAGTATTGAGTGGGAGCCCGAGGATGTGTTTATTTCCAGAAACAACAACCCTTCTGCGGTCGATGAAACCGGCCCCCGTTTCTTACTGCTCTGAAGCCTCTGTGTGTCCCACCTTTGCCGAAGCCTCTTCCTGGGACGCACATTACCCTCTCCTGTCTTTGCTTGTGTGTTCCGGCCCTGAGATTGGAGAAGAGTCCCTGTTCCAGATCAGAGCGCCACCTTTTCCAGGCATCAGGTGCCTCTGCTTGTTCTGCTTGGAGTGTCTGTCAGCCATTAGCAGTAAAACATGTCGCGGGTGACTCCCACCTCCTTGTCAGGACCCCTCCTGAGACACGTGGAACAAATAGCCAACCCATAAATTTGAAGCCTAAAGGCGCACCAGTGCCAGAGACCACTGCCCTGTGCACCTGAGGGTGAATGCTCATGGCTCAGCATTATCATGGGAATGATACAGTCTCCCCTCTTCCCTGTTTAACTCTACTTTATAATGGACAGGGAAGACCATGCTTAAATATGATGAAGAAAACATATTTGCCATGTTCACCTCTTCTGAAATTGCTTCACAATGTAAACAACCCAAAAAATGAAGTTAGACTGTGGAAGGTTTGTCATTTAACAAAAAAAAGAAAAAAAAAATCATAGAGAGAAACACAGTTTCTTTGGAAATTTTAGGCTAACAGAAGCTTTCTCTTTCATATTTGTGAAATGAAATACAACACAGTACTAAAAATGAGACATGGTACTAAAAACATTCAATATACACACATACACACACACACAGCCCTAATTGAATGGTTTGATAATCCAGTTATGTAACTGGGCACTTAGGTGTATATTCAGAACTCCAATAGAGCTGCAATGGAGTGCAGCACATGATAGCATTCTGCAGCAGTGGGCAGATGCGACTCCTTTTAGGCTCCTTGACCGAGTCTCCACCGTTGCTAACCGCAGCTGTGTGCCTCAGTAAACAGGCTTGCTAGCTGATTGGCTTAAGATGTAGTCTGAACCGAAGTTGACCGGATACTTTGTGCTGTGCACCGCTCCAGTTGATTGAATCAGGTGTAGTGTGCACAGCCTAAGTAGATTGGATGATTTGCATTGTCCACGGCTTGGGTGGTTTACGAAAAAAGGAAAAGGAAAATTCCTTGGCTATTGTGCACCAATGGAAGGTTAAAAACCCGTGAGTTCAGTCTTGCAGTACAGTGGTTCCTGGCATGGGGCAGCAGCTTCCCCCCACACACCTCCAAGCTTAGCTAATAACAATTTCTCCTGACAGCCTGCATTTGGTCTGGCATGATCTCTCTCCTTTCCAGAACAGAGCTGGGACTAGCAGTTAGCTTTGACAGTGAGTTAAGGTACAAAGAGACTAGTAAACCACTATCAAAATAATCACAGTGGATATAAATCAGAATTGACTATTAGAAATAACCAATAAGTTGCTATTTTACATCCCTGATGTAAGATTTATAGTATGCATTTGCAAGATGTCTCATTTCCAGGTCACTCAGGTAATCACTTTCTTCATGTTTCACATTTTATTTGCTTGAGCAAGAGAGAGATTTTTTGTCAGCTGATTCACTCCCTACATGGCCTGGACTGAGCCAAGCCAGAGCCAGGAGGTTAGAATTCCACTCAGATCACCCATGGGGGTTGCAGGACCACATACTTAAGTCATCTTCCATTGCTTCCTCAGATGCACAAGCAGGGAGCTGGAATCAACATAGGGCAGCTTGGAGGTCGACCAGATACAGAATGCTAGCATCACAAGCGGTGACTAAACACACTGTATCAGAATTCTGGCTCCACATTAAATGTTCTCGTGTTCAATAATATGATAAAGGGGGCATCGGGCTGAAATAACTAAAGCTCTGTTGGCTCTAAGTATACAAAAACATGTCCGGTGGTCCTTCCATAAAGTACATAAATGCCGCATCAAGATTCAAAGTCCTCCATATAAACAGGCAGTGTCTTCATCATCAAACTCCCCCCACCCCGCCCCAAGTAAACAAATTCCATCTGTTCTCATCTCAAAGGCAACAAGTGCTCTGCCCGCACATCCTCAGGCCCCTTTTGCATGTCCTGATCATGGTGCGATTTCACTCCCATTAGTCAGCATCTAACTTCTTTGGAAGTCAGTTTTTCGCAACCCCCCAACAAAAGAAAATCTAAAAGGGAAAAAAACATCTGTAAGACTAACCTGCAGGGCCTACCTAAGCTTGTGTCCCCACCCTAACACAGTTCCTCTGTGAATGCAGGATGCTGTGTGGTCTCAAGTTACTTTTCCAGCTAACGGGCCAGAACCAGCTAAAACCAACATAGCCAAGGGACCTCCAGGAGACCTCAGATTTCATTGTAACCTAATTTCCATGCTAAGTGACATGCCTACCAGCTGCCATGATGGAAAATATTAGGTCATGAAGGAAGCAAAATGGGGACTCTGGGAATAGCCATGCGTCTTCCTCCCACCGTCTTCTAGGCATGACTCCACAGCCCCTGGAGTGTTAGGATGCTGACTTGTGACTGAGGCTCCAACTTTCCATTCTTTGACCACTGACTGAACTGTGACTTCAGCTTTAGTTTTGGTTCCACAACACTGAGCACATAAATGCCCACAGAGGGCAAGAGCACCAGCATCGTGTCATAACAGGGTGACCTGAGCCTTATTTTCTCATTTATGTCTCCTCCTCCTTTTTCTCCTTGGAGACCACAAGGAATGACCACAAGGCATTCCCTCTACACAGGAATGCCACCCGCTACCCCCTTTCCATGAGCAACGGGAGACGTTCTGGCTCTTTGGAGCTGCCTGTCTCTTTCTGATCCTAAACTCCCTGTGATCATCCCCAGGTGTCTCCATGTAGGTCCACCTGCTGGGTGATGAGCACTACCAGCCAGCCAACCACTGGATGCCAGCACAGCCACTGCCAACCAGGTGGCCACAAAGCCTAGCTGAGCCCTGCCAACACTCTGCAGCCACCTCAGTGGGAACAAGCCCAGCATGTGGCACATAGCCTTGAGAGGAAAGACAAAGCAATCACATACACATTAAGCCACTTCTGAAATGGTTTGTCAAAACAAAGCTAACTGATAGAATAGCTTTCATCAAATTCTCAGAGTTATCCAGGGGCCCCTGAAAAAGACAGAGAGCCACTTTTCTGGAAAATAATGAGACAACACAACTGCCAAAGGCTACATAGCTTCTGGGATGAAACTTTTCCTGGGGGAAAAGAGCTTCATCGTGACTACCAAAAAAAAACGACTAACAGAAATCAGAGTTGGGTTCCTAAGCGATGAAGAAGATTCTACAGTGGTCTGAGTTGCTCTCATCAGCCTCCTGCCAAAATTCTTCTGCTGCAGTCCCAAATCCCAGGACCCCAAATGGTAACCATATTTACAGGTAGGGTCTATTAAAAAACCGACCAGGCTGAAATGATGCTACGAGGTGGGCCCTCATTCACTATGTCTGTTGCTCCTACAAAAAGAGGAAAAGCTTCCGGGAGCTTATGGTCACTGAGACAGCCACCGAAAGAGGCAGCCCGAGCGGGGCCATGTGCGAGTCAAGCAGACAGCTCAGAGGAAACCAACCAATGTTGATCTTGGCCTTGCAGCCTCCAAAGCTGTGAGGGAATAACTGTAGAACACATGAAAATTCAACCAGATGTTTTCTTTCACTCTCAGATAGAAATGAGCCTTTGGAAAAAATTGCAGATGAAGGCACTGCAAATATGGTGTGTGTGTGTGTGTGTGTGTGTGTGTGTGTGTGTGTGTGATTACCTAGAAAACCACGGCCAAAAACTCACACTGTCTTATATCAATTTTCAGTTTCTCCCACCTAACGAGCTCAGTCACCTGTTGGGAAGTCTAGAAAGTTACAACTGGAAAAGACTCATCTGAGAGAAAGAAGCTAAAAAGTGATTACATGATTGGTCATCTAAAATCTCTTACTGATAAAATGGTGCACATCTTACATCAATAGGAACTCTTCTGACAGAATAAGATATCTACAATTAGGAGCAACCCTGAGACAAAGAAATTTAGGCAGCCCTATAACTCCAGCATCCCTAAGAGCAGATTCAGATCCTATCTGCTCCATTTCTTTTAAGACTTTTATTTTTATTGGAAAGCTAGATATACAGAGAAAAGGAGTGACAGAAAGAAAGATCTTCCATCTGTTGATTTACTCCCCAAGCGGTTGCAATGGCAGAGTTGCACCAATCCAAAACCAGGAGCCAGGAGCCTCTTCTGGGTCTCCCACATGGGTGCAGGGTCCCAAGGCTTTGGGCCATCCTCATCTGATTCCCAAGGCCACAAGTGGGACTGCCAGGATTAGAACTGGTGCTCATATGGGATCCGAGAGCATTCAAGGAGAGGACTTTAGCCGATAGGCTACCGCGCTGTACCCTCGGACCCCAGCTGCTCCATTTCTAGTCCACTTTTCTGCTAATGTGTCTGGCAAAACCAGTGGAAAATGACGCAAATATCTGGACTGCTCCCATCTGCATGGGAGACCCAGATGCCGTTTCCGGTTCCTGGCTTCTGCCCAGCCCAGGACTTGCCTTTCTGCTGAAGCCATCTGAGAAGCAAATGGGTGCATGCAAAATCTGGCTCTTTCCCCTCCCCATCTCTCTCTCTACACATCCACCTTGAAAATAAAAAAAAATAATAAAGTCTTTATCTAAGAAACCTGCAAATAAGTGTGCAAAAATCATAGCCATTTATGTTGTACTTCAACTTCAGAAAAGTTTTTTTTTTTTCAACTGAGGATAGTAGAGTTAGGTAGATGGAAAGAAATTATGTATAACT